TTAAAATCACAAAGAGATATCACCTCACAGATGAGAAAATGGCTATCATTAATAAATTCACAAATGACAAGTGTTGGCAAGGATGTGGAGAAAAATGAACCCTTGTGCACTGTTGGTGGGAATGCAGAATGGTGCAGCCACTGTGGAAAGCAGTATGGAGTTTCTTCAAAAAATTAAAAATGGGCCCTAGCAGTTTTGGCTCAGTGGTTACAGTGTTGGTCAGTGAACTGAAGAGTCCTGGGTTCAATTCAAGGGCACATAACTTGGTTGTAGGCTGAAAACCTGCCCCAGTTGGGGTGCATGCAGGAGGCAACCAACTGATTTGTCTCTCTCATATCAATCTTTCTCTCTCTCTCTCCCCCTCCCCTTCCACTCTCTCTGAAAAGCAATGGAAAAAAAATCCTTGGGTGAAGATTAAAAATAAAAATTAAATTAAAAATGGAATTGTCTTTGACCCAGTGATCCCAGTTCTGGGAATGTATCTTAAGAATCTCAAACTAATCTGAAAGAATATATGCACCCCTATGTTCACAGCAGCATTTTTTACAATAGCTACTATTTGGAAGCAGCCCAAGTACCCATGAGTGGATCAGTAGGTAAAAATGCTATGGTACATTTACACAATGGAATACTACTCAGCTGTAAAAAAGAAAAATTTCCCCTTTGCAACAGTATGAATAGACCTGGAGGACATTACGCTAGGTGAAATAAGCCAGTCAGAGAAAGACAAGTACGGTATGATTTCACTAATATATGGACTTTAATGAACAAACTGAACTAACATGCAAAATAGAGACAGACTCATAGATAGATAGCAGGATGACAGTTCTCATGGTGGAGGGATGTGTTAGGAGGGTGGAGGGACTAAGCAAAAAAGGAAAAAGAATGAGGAAGAACTCATGGACATGGACAACAGTGTGGTGATCATGGGAGGGGAGGGATGTGAATGGAAGTGGAAGAGGGTTTAAGGGAGGATAAACAGTGATGGAAAAAAATATAAAGCATAACTTAAAAAAAAGAAAGAAAATATAAAATACTGCCATTTACAACAACGTGGATGGACCTTGAGAATATCATGCTAAGTGAAATAAGTCAGTCAAAAAAGCTAAGAACCATATGACTTCACTCATATGTGGGATATAAAACTGAAACTCGCCCTGGCCAGTGTGGCTCAGTTGGTTGAGCATCGTCCCATGCACCAAGAGGTTCCAGTTCAATTCCCAGTCAGGGAACATGCCTGGGTTGCAGGCTGCATCCCCAGTGCGGGGTGTGCAGGAGGCAAGCAGATTGATGCTTCTCTCATTGATGTTTTTCCCTCTCCCTTCCTCTCTCTAAAAAGCAAAAAAACATATTAAACAAACAAACAACAAAAAAACTGAAACTCATAGACACAGGCAATAGTATAGTAGTTACCAGAAGGAAGGGGGAGAAGAGGAGTAAAGGGTAAAGGGGACCAAATATATGGTGACAGATATTTGACTGTGGGTAGTTGGCAAACAATGCAAATCATGTATCACAGAAATGTACACTTGAAACCTATATAATCTTATTAACCAATGTAACCTCAATAAGTTTAATTAAAACTCATACAACTCAACACCAAAAAAAAAACAAACAATCCATTAAAAAAAAAAAAGGCAGAACACATGAATAAACATTTCTCCAAAGAGGATATAAAGATGTCCAATAGACATATAAAAAGATGCACAATATCACTAATCATCAGAGAAATACAAATTAAAGCCACAATGAGATATCACCTCACAGCTGTTAGAATGGTTATCATCAATAAATCCACAAATGACAAGTGTTGACAAAGATGTAAAGAAAAGACCACCCTGGTGCATTGTTGGTGAGAATGCGTATTGGTGCAGCCACTATGAAAAATAGTATAGAATTTTCTCCAAATTTAAAAATGGAACCGCCTTGTGACCCAGTGTTTCCACTTTTGGGTATATATCTGAAGAAATCCAAAATATAAATTCTAAAGAATATATACAACCCTATGATCATTGCAGCATTGTTTACAATAGCCAACCTATGGAAGCAACTCAAGTGCCCATCAATAAATGAGTGGCTTAAAAAAGCTGTGGTATATATATGCAATGAAATATTAGTCGGCCATAAAAAAGAATGAAATCTTACCATTTGCGACAGCATGGATGGACCTAGACGATATTAGGCTAAGTAAGTCAGGTAAAGCCAAGTACCATAAGATTTCGCTTACATGTGGAATCTAAAGAACAAAATTAAAAAAAAAAAAAAAGGAAACAGACTCATAGAAACACAGAGAACTGGTGGTTGACAGAGGGGAGAGGGTTGGAGGCACTGGGTGAAAGAGGTGAAGGGATCAGGAAGCACAAATTAGTAGTTACAAAATAGTCATGGAATATAAGTAAAGCATATGGAATATAGTCAATAATATTGTGATAACTATGTATGGTGCCAGTTGGGACATTGGAACTTTCAAGGGGAACACTATGTAAAGTATATGATTGTCTAACCATTAGGCTATACACCTGAAACCAATACAAAATAAAATTCAAAGAAAAACAAAAACTGGTAAAGAATATAAAGCAATAATATTCTGCATAGAGTGTGTCCAAAGAATCTCCAGTGTACTGGGGTGAGGAGGATAGAACAAATGACCCACTGCAAGGTTAAAATTGCTTTCTAGTTTTGTAGTTTACACGAAAAATTAATGCAAATCTAGCTCATCAATACACTGGTATTTTTTAACATAAAAATATTTGTACTTCACATGGAATAAATATTGCTGGTCTAAGATATGCCATGTTCCACACTTATATCTAGTACACTGCCAAATATCTTTGATTTAGGATAGAACAATATTTTTAGATCTAGATCAAATAGCAACAACAAAAGTTTATTAAAATTATCACTTATTCTAATTATTTTAAGTTCCTACTTATAAAATATTGTGAGGTCATCACACATGATAAATGCCTGGTCAACTTGGTTTTTTAAATTAATAAAAATGGTTTATATATACACCATTAAAAAAAAAATCTAGTGCTTACAATGGAATATTATGCAGCTATAAAAAAGGATCTTTTACCATTTGAGACAGCATTGGTGGACCTGGAGACTATTACGCTAAGTAAAATAAGCCAGTTAGAGAAAGACAAATATCACATGGTCTCACTTATATGTGGAATCTAAATAATAATATATACTGATGAACAAAATAGGTCCAGAGGTATGTATGCATGGAACAGAATAACAGATCTCAGTGGGGATGGGAAGGTGGGGGTGGAGGGAGGAAACAGGAAGAGATTAACCAAAGAACACATATGCATATATGCATAATCCAAGGACAAAGACAATAGCATGGGGAAGGCCTGGGGTAGGGCAGGAGTTGGGTGGATGGGGGTAAAAAGAGAGAAAATTAGAGATATCTGTAATACTGTCAACAATAAAATTTAAAAAATATATAGTGCTTAGAGTATGGTTTTCAATAACAAATCAGCTTTGGTCTAATAATAACAATATTTCCTAATAAACATAAATGTTAGTTACTTTATCAACTAAGTAGTTGCTCAAAACAATTACTGCTTAAATTTCATTGTTTTATACTTTAGATATATGGAAGAGACTAAAAAATGAGATATTTGTAGTTTCCTAGCTTGTCCTAAACCTGCTTATGTTTATAGGGCAATTTTTTCTGATTTTACAATTTAAGTGTCACTATGCATAGCCAAATTCCTTCTTTGTTCATCAGACTTTTTTCTTTCAATTGCCATTTGTAATAAATCTCCAATCTGTCTATATGTTTCTAATGGATACCATCAATGAAAGATTCCATCTTAATCACATCAGTCATGAAGACAATGGACTCAACTCACAAATAGCCATTATTTTTAGTGACATCAGCTGTGTTTTCATTCAAACCTGCCTGTTTTTCCTCCCTAATCTTCGCACTAGTTACTCTTGAACTAAAAATGTGAGATTTTTTTCCTTTTACTGACTCCTTAACAGTCGTTAGTAATTATTAACTTAATGAAGATCTTGAAATATACCTACTAAAAATAAAATTGTGAAGAAAATTTGGTAATTTACAATTAAGTTATTCCAATTTCTGCTTAGGATTCTAAACACTGGTCACTAAATCAAACATATTTTTAAATATCTCCTATTATGGGCAAGGCACTCTTCAGGGTACCAGAAACACCAAGATGTGCAGGCCTCTGCCCCAAAAGAGATGACAGTCTAGTAGTTTCCAATAGAGATGTTCAAATATACAGATGTAACTCCTTTGAACATTTTCTATTAAATACACCTAATCACATTAAAATTAAACCATTTTCTTCTGGCACACGTAATATTAACTATCACATCACCTGTGGAAAGGTAACATAGACCATTACTTTGAAAGAGACTATCTCTATATATAAAAGAATACATATAAAATGGCAGTACCCAAAACAGCAAATATATTTAAGCCACAACTTATAAACAAAATATGCAGTTGCACATAGATTCTAATAAATATTTTACTAAAAAAAACCTACCCATTAATGCACTAAATATAAATGCATTTTATTTTTAAATTTATCTTTATTGTTGAAAGTATTACAGATGTCCCCTTTTTTCCCCATTGACCCCTTCCACCCTGCACCCACTCCCCATCCCAGGCATTCACCGTGCTATTGTCTGTGTCTATGGGTTACACATATATGCATATAAATTCTTTGGTTAATCTCTCCCCCCCATCTACCCATTTTAATTAACAATGCAATTTTTTAAAGCATAGAACTCATGAAAACACTGGTCTGAAAAAGGTCTTTTCTGTAGACTTTTGTATTTATTACAAAGAGTAAGAAACTATGCAAAGATAAATCTAAGTATTTCAGGAAGGAAAAGTTGAGCCAGAGTAAACTAAAACAAATAATAGCATAACTGGAAAGTATGGAAAGAAAGAACTTGGCTTCTTCGTTTATCACATAACAGTGTACATTTTTTAAAAAGATGTTTTTAGGGGGCAGTGCTTTTGTGGTTTTATCAAGGTATCATGTAACAAAACAAATTAAGTCATTACATTGAAAAATATCTCCATGTTACTTATTTCTTTATAGTGGAATGGAGTTTTGCCCTAAAATAATCCCTATCACTACTCCAAGTAACTCCCTCCTAAACACGATATATAAAATGAAAGCCATAATAAAATTAATCAGATTTTTTAATCTTTAGGTAAAAGTAACCAATTGACCCTTCCTATAATATTCATTCTTTATATAGTACTATCATTTTACTGTTTTAAAACTGGCAATTTTAATTTCGAATGCTATTTCTTAAGAGTCATTTATAGTTTTTGTTTGTTTGGGTAGGAGAATCCATCAAAGTGGATATTCCACAACTCTTGGTTAAAAGGCTCAAGTCACATTTTTAGCCCAGAACAGTTTTGATTGTACTTTCATAGAAAATAGGTCAAAACATTAGTTTTGTGGCTGTAAAAATATATGCTATCTTTTGAATATGATTTTTAGTACTATCTTAATACTTTATAAAGAATGCAGAATATACCTTTAAATTTGACTTTCTCAGAGTAAAGAGATACGTTTTAAAGCTAATTTGTTCAATATTGGCTCCGAAACTTTAAAGGGACTTTACTTAGCATTAATTTGTTTTTTTGTAGATATAAGTTCATACTTTTATCTGCTTTTCTGCTATGCTATTTCTGAAAAGTAAGAAAACATGATACTACTGCATTTGGATGATGTTGACCTAGATACTTTACCAAGAAATTTTCAAATCAGCCTGCTATCAACCATGAACTCTAATGCAAAGGCATTTCTGGACTATCACTTGCAGTATATTAAAGTACTCAATAACTGTTATTTGCACATTACATAAAACATTTTTAACAAAATTTTATTCAAAGAATTAGGAATATCATATTCAAAACAGAAATAATCAAACTATAACAATACTGCATAGATAGTGGTATACAAGTTCCTTGATGCTAAGTGACTTCTTCCTACCTAAAACTTGTGTTTTCAAGTCACCAGGTAAAAAATGGTGGAGACATCGCCCTAGCCGGTTTACTCAGTGGTTAGAACATCAGCCCTCAGACTGAAGGATGTCAGGTTCGATTCCAGTCAAGGGCATGTACCTCAGCTGCAGGCTCAGTCCCTGGCCCGAGTCGGAGCACGTGCAGGGGCCACCAATTGGTGTGTCTTTCTCACATCAATGTTCCCCCCGCCCCCCTCCACTGTCTCTAAAAAGCAATGGAAAGGTGAAGGCATTATTTCCTCTCTCTGAGGCTGGAAAAATGGCTCTGAAGGTAAGAAGTGACACCATTTAAACACCAGAAATTAGTTTATCCCCCAATTTAATTATATTCCCTTCTTGTTATTTCCCAGAGGTAAAAATTTAGAATGTAAAGATTACTAGAAAGGAGGTAAATTACCTCTTAGAAGATATCCTGATCAGTGCTTGCTTTAATGAGACAAAACATGAATTAAGTTTTAAAAATTACAATTTCACCATTATGCTTAAGTAAAATTGTTAATGTGAATACATTTTTACACAATATGTTACATGTATACAGGAAAAAAGGACCTGCTTCCAATCCTTTCACATTCAGTAAAAAATAAAAAATGATATCACTAATGGAGATTTGAAAAATAATTTTCATGATTGAACTTTAGAACTTTTATATAGAGATCAAAATAATTCCTGAATACTGAAAATAGCCTAAATCAATAAGAAATTGCTAAATTTATAAGATTACTTTTTGAAAAGGAAGACAATATATTTGGAAGGAATTTGTAGCTGAAAACATTGTTTATTAAAAAAAACATGGTTATCCTGACAAAGACTCTTAAAATTGCCAGTACTTTCATAGGCCCCCAACAATTCATGAAGGAGCAACTTTTAGGCTCTAGCCTTTTATAGTTACCTACATAAAAAATGTTTTGATCTGAACAGTGATTTGTGCTAGGTCACAACCAAGACATTTGAATGTGATGGACTGTAAGCAAATTTTGCATGCATTTCAGGTAGACTTCTTTTTTTGCCTAAGAAAGTTTGTAATTTTTCAAATGGTCTTGGACACAAACCTACTGTTCACAAAAATAATCTTCTGTATGCAAATCTGAAGTTTTATTATAATAGTAAACATCCTCTGGTCTATGCCTAGAAAATAAGGCATAAGTAATTTCACTGCATAGACAAGTGTTTTCTTTCTAATGCAAACATTTATCAAAGTGCAGTTATTTTTAACATCTCTTATGCACTTACAAGTTAGAATTTCTGAATCTCTATATACTTTTAGTACAAAAGAATGGTTATTCCCAACTACTTACATACCATAATTACTTGAGAAAAGACAAAGTGAGAGCAGCTACAGGAATAACAGGATATTTTTCACAAATAAGAATATAATGTACAAAAAATGACAAATTAGTTATAACTGGTAGTATGAACTCTTAATAATATTCTATTTTGGTTTCCAAATTAAGATTTGACAAGCTTGAAGCCTTGTCCTGTGTCCAGCACAGTAGGAAGAAACCAACTCATTTTTAATCTTTTTAAGCACCTAAAACAACTTTGGCAGATCCAAAAAAGGTTCAGACCACACAACCAATTTGCCAGATGTACTAGTGGATATGTAATACGAGGAAAGTGTAACATCCAGTGCTTGGCCACATCACTTCCAGTTGGCAAATGCAGAGTGTAGTCACTCCACTGTTTCGAGACACCATATACTGCTTTCACTGTGCGTCCCTTTTCAGTCCAGCAGATGTTATTATTGGAGTTGCAGTTATATTCTACCCAGTCTTTTGTAAAGTCACCAAGCTGCGGTGGGTCAGCTTCTTCAATATCTATTGTCTTCATCATCTCTGCTCCTTGCACTGCAATATACTGGTCACTGATTTTTCTTACTTCTTTCACCCAAGGGGTTGAATTCTCACTGTCTAATACAATAATAAGTCGGGAACAGAAAGAACCATTCTTTTCTCTCCACCATTCTAAAAGCGTGTCAAGGCGTAGTATATCTCCACCTATAAATGAAAGAAAATTCAATAAATAATTTCTGAAGCCTCTCAATAAGATTACCCCTTTGCCTTAAGTGTATTTTTAAAAAATTCTTGGAATTAAGTATGTGAGTGGAAAAATAGAGCCTTCTTTCAAAGTATCTTTTCAGAAGACTTAAAAAACACACATTTCAACTTCAGGTAAAAAGAACAAGTAAAAACAATCATCCTTGTTATTCACACAAAAAGTAGAATATGCTATAATAAATTTAAAAAATTGTTTTATAAAGTTAAATTTGGTGAAAAAAGTAAATTATAGAGGAAAGCTTATATTCTACATCAAAAACAGCAAATATGGCTCATGGTCCAAATCTAGCCCATTACCTGTTTTGGTACAGACTGTGAGCTGAGAATTGATTTTACATTTTTACATGAAAATTTACATTTCCTATAACTGTTTCTATAAATAACACTCATTTTACATTTTGTCTATGGCTGCTTTT